TTCACTCGCCGTATGAGTTCTGTTGCCTCTCACTGTAAATATCCCCTTTTCCATTTTTCCGTTGAGAGACATTTTGAATTCATGTATTATGCTAAAATTAATAATGCATGAGTGGCTTTTTTTTTTAGTGGAAAAGGCAGGGAAAATAAAATTTTGCTGCAGCTTTTGCTTAATTCGACACCTTCAGCGAGAAGTCGGTACTTTGTGTGTGCTGCCTTGGGAAAGTGCCCTTTCAATTGCGATGAAAAGTTCCCTCCCCCCCGAACGTCATTGACATTTCCCTGCTTAATTGTCACCCAATCAGGTTGTAATTGCTGACCCCGGTGCGCTGAAGAATGTAATCGTTGTTTTGCCCGGCAGCTGCCGGCTTTCACACGGACGAGTCGCGCCGGGAACGGAACGGAAATCACTTGTCACGGCGGACGAGGAAACAAGTTAACACACACATGTACGAGCAGCGGCGAGGGTAATCAATCTTAAATAATGAGACCATGGCCGGGCCGCAGCCTGGTCGGGCCGGGGCGAATCTTCGATCGCGACTCAGTCCGGATATCTCATTTCTCTGATTTGCTACATCCGGACCGGAACTTGTCACGGTCTTGAAATATATATACATGGGAATGAATGGGCAGCTGTACCCAGCTCAGTGTTGTTTTGATCGCAGTGTCAATATGGTGGTTGAAGAAGGCGAAAGGCATTCAAAACAGATTCATTTGATTGCATGTGGCTAACTTCAGATGTACATATTTACAAAATATACAACGCATTGTTTAAATTTGGTTGAGTGTTTGGATAAATACTTGTTTATTTTTATGTAATGTCATTTATAAGACATGTACATGTATACAGCTGTGGTGAGGTGTGTTGATCAGTTCAGTGCGTGCTGTGATTCATGGTTGAGATAAGCCTTGCAAAAAATGCGCAAATGCTGTTTGACTTCCGTGCAAAGGAAAGAAGGCATGCGTGTATGCCTTGATGCACAAAAACGGCATTCGTTTCATGAAGCATAAATCACTGCCCCGAACTGTTAATGGTTGTTTGAAGCTAAAAATGCTTTAGAACCACCCATCATAGGGGTACCAGTATGTTGGGTACCAGCTTTACGTGAAGAAAATTTTTTTTACACACATCAGTTTTGCTCTTCGATCCTTTACTGCAGGGATAAAAGAAAACTTGTCCGATCGTGCTTTGTGGTGTAACCTCGGTGATGGTTTGTAACTCTCATGTGTTGCCGGAGTAACCCATTTGTCTTTTCCATGTCAATATCTGAAAAATTGATATTGAAATGCTTATATGGAGGTATCATATGCAGCAAGGTATGAGACGGAAAGAACTCCCCCTGCTTTGTGTTGGTCATTGTCTCGCAGGAATCTGGGGAATTCCTTTCAGACATCTTGGGGGGATG